TCACTTCCAAACTGTTCAAATGTCCCCTATAACTCTCTCCTTTATCCAACATACACAATAATATGCGTCTCTACTTACTTGGGACTACAAGCAACCTTGGCGGTGGTGGAGGTGGTGGAGGGGGTGGTAAAGGAGGAGGTGGTCTACACTGGCAAATTTGTTGACAACTCTCCGTAACTTTCTCTGCTACAGCTTTGGAACATGACTTCTGGGGTTCACCCTGAGTGATCTGTAATAAAAAAAAAAAAAAAAAGAGTTATTTACTGGAAACTTGCCTCAAGCTAAAGAGAGCTAATAAACATTACAAGTTGTTTAGATTCCTTTCCTTAAGGACTGATGTGAGGACCAGATTAGTTCTCCTTCCTGTTCTGCCAAATTACCTTTTCCATGTGTTTACAGTCTATTTTTGTCAAACTTTGCTCTTTGCTCTAATAAGAGAACAGAAGAGGGCCCAAATTTTGCTCATCTGAGGACTGCATACACCACACACACATTCCAGTCTGGACTGTATACTCCATGCTATGCCATTAATCTCTCTGATTATATATATAATGTTAACAATAAAAAGGTAATTATGGGGAATTACAGAACCCTGGCATTTGGCACATAGACTATATTTTTGTCATCCCTTGTATACAACACTTAACAGCTCAGTAGTCACAACAAGTAGCTTTTACAATATGTTTCTAGCCAAATATTTGGCATATTAACATATTTATCAACCTAGAGAATATTGAAGGATCATAACATGACAAACGTGACACCGAAGAAAATTAAAGAAGAAAAGTTAACCTTATAAAAATGAATTTTTACAAAGGTCCCAATAGTTTCTAATGGGTACTCAGGTCCATGGGTCTCTAAACAGGCTCCTTCTGAATCAGATTTCAAATGCCAAATCCTATTTTAAAGAAGTGATACTATAAATTAAGAACTACAATATCCAAACTTGTATTTTAGACCATGGTTTAGGATGGCATCACAGCATAGCTTTATGCCCAGATGAAGTCACTGGGGCTTAACTATGTGCTGAAGTGCTGTCTTGAATAGGGGTACTGTATTGATCAAGACCCCCAGAAGAGACACAATGAAAATAGTATTAGCAAAGGTCTATCCAGTAATTTTTTACTATCTTCCCCTTAACTGCAGTAAAATATGTTGATCCTTGCATCCCCTCCTCTTACAGGTGTTACACAGTTTTATATTCACCTATTTATGATCAAATATTATATTACAGTGCCCACTAAAACCAGCACACACATAACTGCTCACATGCACGGTATGCCTAAATACAGAAAGATATAGTATACTTCTTTGACTATTTAGAGATAATATTTTGTAGTCGAAACAGAAAGAAAAAAAAGAAAGAAAGAAATGGGGATAAGAAAAAGCTATGATTAGCTGAGCTGGAAGAAAAGCTCTGAACAGCACATATCAGAAGGTCCAGTACTTTGAACTGCTTGCCACATTCCAGATATAGGAAAAATCAAATTTAATCACATATACTTTCCAACTTTTTAACAGAAGTTAAAAAAAACACTTGACTAGGATGGTTTAGTCAGGAATGATCCTGCCTTGAGCAAGGGGCTGGACTAGATGACCCATGAGGTCCTATTTTCCTGTGATCCTATGAACTTTCCCCTTTACAATCAAGTAACAATAAGGAGATAGTTATAGACCATGGCAAAAAGTTTCCAAGAACTACATGGACTCTTTGAACTCTAATGACTCAGCTTTATAATCTTCCACAGATGGTGATAAATCTGTCTCCTAAGTAGGTTTCTTTTTTCTGTAAAATACATTCTTAGAGTTCACAAGCCGAAGAAGAACCTGTACTCTTAAACTGTTTATATATAGTAGTGTGTTAATGGTAGTTTCATGGACCCAATAGATAAGACACTACTTCCTACAATACCAAACCTGGTGACCTTAAAGCTTTCCTGGCTTTGGTCAGTAGTGGTGACATTTATGCTCATCAGGGAGGATAAAGGATGGTAGATTATTGCTTTGTAGATAACCAAGGAGAAACTGTCAGTCCACATCCCTTGACATGATATCCACTTTGGTAAATGCTTCAGGTTACTAAAATTACGTGGGAGCCAGGAAAAATGGGTGATTGATCATGAGATGGAATAACACCACATAGATTTGGGAGTCAACTTTTTATCTGTAGAATAGAAGGAGCTTGGTGCATACATGTGATGATACTGACGGTATGGGAAAGCTAGACTGACTTATTGCTCTACCTTAATACCAGCCAAGGCCAAAAAGTTTGTTCTGTCCTTTTTTTAGAACTATTGACCGGCTTTTAAATCCCCAGAGGCTCTCTCGTCATGGGCTGGTAATAGCAAATCATGGGATATTTTTCTCAATTATTTTGCCAAAAGATTAACCTTATATATCTCCAGCCATATCCCAGGCTTGCATCCTATTTCTGTATCTAAAGGGACTACTATGGGGTTTTTTTTGATGCTTAGTCTACCCACTAGCTAAGATTAATAGCTCCAGCTGATTTATTCTTTGAAAATTATTGAAATTCAAAAGGGTGGGTTTAATCTCCTATTTGTTTTATTCATTATTTTGTCACTCAGTAAAAAGTATTCAGAACTGTAAAGTGATTTCTATGTTCTCCACATTGCTCCACTAAGCAGCCATCTTTCAGTAACACTGCTTGCTGTTGGTCATGCCCATTGCCAAATTCCCCTCCCCCCTTCTCCTAACATATAAATTTAAAAGAACTGAAGATGTACATTTAGCTGAAAGAGGACTGAATTTGACATGAAAGATGAAGCTCTCCAAGATGGAGAAGCACTCTTAAGCATTTTCGTAAGTGGATTAACTAGGAGTAATGAAATAGAATTAAGAAAAGGAATGCAACCAATTTGGGCTCATTCTCAAGAAAAACTTTCTACTGGTGATGCCTGTTAGCCTTCCAGTAAAAGGAATGGAAGGTCATTACTTAAGTCTTTTAAATGTAAACAGAACAAATCACAAAAAAACCATGCTGTGGAACAACCCTGTTCTAGCAGAGGATGATTAAAGAAATGTCCTAACGTTGCTTTTCTAATGTTTATAATTCAACGTAAGGTGCCTTTATAATGGATAGTAAAAGTAAAAGGCATATTGAAAAAGCCTGGCCTTTCTATGAAAGATTCCACTACTAACACATAGGTCTCAAACTTGGGCATTTGTTCTTTTTGTCAAATGCTAGTTACATAAAGACTTCAGAAGCATTTCACAGATGATGATGCATCAGTTACTGATTTGGCTTCCCTTCAGTTTACTCTTCACTGGGGTCACTAGGGATCTCTGAATATCAAGCAAGTAGGGTTTGCTCTCTACATTGCTCCACTGAGCAGCCATCTTTCAGTGACATTTCCTACTGTTGGTCATGCCCCGGAACTTCTATGTCGTTTACCTATCTAAAATATAGTTCTTTTGTTTCAACCTAGAATTCTCAATATTCTTAGCAATGTATCAGCTTGCAGACTCTGCCTGTCAGAGTTTAAGGCAAGGCAAACTATTAGTAGTAAAGACTGTTCCTCCGTTTTTAGTCTACCAACAAACGATATATGGTTCTAACAATTTATGTAAACATGTTTTACGTAAGGGCAGGCATTTCTTAATAGTCTGGTAAATGAAAATCTGCTTCCACAAATATAAATGGAAAAGCAAACAAAAAGTGCTGTGAACTTGTCTGAACAGAACTGGAAAGCCAGCTATATAAAGTTCCCATTTGGGAGATAATTTCTTTTTAATCAGAGATTTTCAAGAGAAACTGAGATTCCATTCTACGCTGCACAGCACGCGGAAGCAAGGCTACGCTTGTACAAAGCCTCACTGACTTCAATAGGGATCCATGCAATCAGAGCAGTCCAGGTATATATTACAACATGGAGACTGGGCTCCATACCTGGGAATAGAGGATTACAGTGCAAACTCTAGCTGCTGGTCTCCAAGGGAAAGTGGAAATGAGCATGGATCCAGTGGAAGAATGGTAATTGAAAAAGAAAAGTTTTCTGCTGATTGATGGGGATTTGAGAACTCTGACTGCCTGGTGATATAGCAATAACCTTCTTCATGACAGTTGTCTAGTAATGATTTATACTATGTGGAGTATTAAAAAAGCATTTACAAAGTATTAAAAAACTGCCCCATCCTGAGCAGTGCCGAGTCGTGGGCCAATCTCGGGGGGGGGCACATATCCCTCCCCCCCCCCCCCCCCCCCCCG